AGTGCAGTATTTGAACCATTTGTGTCAACGAATTGTGCTTTTAAATAAGAACTGTATGTATGATCAAATATAATTATTATAATTTTTTCTGTCCTGTTGTATTTTTCACTTTTGATACTTTTGGTAAATTTACTTATTTTTGCACATGGCGTGTGGTGCAATGCATGTCATGAGAACTCTAATGACAGGTACTTATGACGTAATGAATTAATCTAGAGATGGAGGCAGTTCAAAAATTTTGAGGTGCAGATTTATTATAGTCACAATAAATGATGGGGAAATAATAGATTAGTGTATACCAAGTAGTGTTACCTAAATGACATTTTGTATATTTAAAATAAATAGCGTCATTTTCGAAAAGCGTTCTGTCGATTGCATATACTGCAACTGTTTACCAGCATAGTTTGACGCACCCTCGCCTGGTTCGAAATTAATGATGATTCAGAATTGATATCTCTAATCTTGTATATTACGTTGAATTCAGTATTACCAGCTTCTGTTTTGTTTATTATCGTTTTGAATAATTGCTATGTTAGTTTATTTAAGCTCGGAAGCTTATAGTACGTCTTTATGAGGTATATGAAAAAAAAAGAAACGAAAACCAATATAATGATTTATCAAATTCTAGTTTTGGCGTTTTACAACGACAGCCTTGATATCATTCTGTAGTCTAGTTAGGATTTGTGAATCAATTTACTACGTTATCCTATCTACCGCCGCCAGTCAGATATGCCAATGTCGAAGTCTACGTCTAAGTCTATGAGTCTACTCTAATAGGGATATTAAGAGTTTAAATATGTAATATAGCATCTCTGGCAGTGTGTACTATACTCTCTACAGAATTTACTACATTGGCTTTCGTTTACCAAAATTTATTGTTTTTTGGCTTTGATTCCAAACTCAAACGCAAGCTGGTCCCGAAAAAGTGACTTGGGAGATTACTCACAAATGTGATGAATACAGAGCGAATGACAATACATCGTGAGTGGTTATATTTACGTAATGGAAATGAAGAAGACAGATGCCAAAATTAGGTTTGAAGCATTTATATGGCCTAGACATGTAATGGTAGACGGGTAGTTGAAACAATTTTCCGTAACAACTGGAAGTGTTTACATTTATTGCATTATAAATTAAAACACTCCTTAAACTAGTACCAACGATTTATTGTTCAAAAGTATCAAAATTGTGTAAACAGGTACCTGGCCACATAATTACGAGGACATTCTCCAATGCGCTCTCTTCGATAGGGTCAAAGGTTAAACCACTTGAAACGCGAGGCGAAGTATTTAACATTGTACTTACAAGCTACTCGAAAGATCAGTATAATGTCATTGAAAAGTTCGCGGAACGATCAAATTTGTTTTCCCTCTGGTAATTTTAAATTTCGATCATTGTCTCTGGAGAAAATTAGAAACGTGATATAGGTCACCAAAGTGGTTGCATTTGATTCGAACTGTTTCCTCTGAATTTCTCTATATTTCAATGAAGCAAGGCTGTCTAATAATACTCCAGCAGGAGAATATGTGAAGCCGGACATGCGCCCCAAATAGAGCTCTACTTCATTATTCGATTTATTTATATTTCGAAGACCAGCTTTTTTGCGAGGTCCCAATACATGCTAATATTAAACTCTTATCCATGGAGTGGAGCTAGTTTCAGATTTTAACACAATACTTTCGGGTAAATTTTAGAATTTGTCGGAATAAAAAATACTTAGTTCAATAGTTATTACAGAAGGCGACTGCGGTTACTGAACAGAAGATTTCAATTAAATTATTGTTAAAACTTAATTCGTGAAATTTTGACCGTTTCGTGCTTTTGTTTCCCCGGCTTTGTTTCAAGCTGTGAGTAACGGCTTAAAAATGGAAATTTGTGAAAAGATGTAGAATTATTAGTAGGATGAGATAAGTGAACTCCAACTGCGAGGGAATAGTTTTCTTTGTTGATAACAGCCATTTTTTGTCGAAATTGTTCTGACAGTAGTGTTTCCAAAATACGTGTACCAAAAAGGCGCACAACCTGAACATAGTATGTGTACCAGATTAGGGTTCAGGTTGTGCGTCATCTTGGTACACATACGTCAAGAGCGCCGTTTTACCTGCTCTGAATTCATTAGTGCAAGAGTGGCTTATTAAATTCAGGAAGGAGTTAAACTCCTGCTTTACTATGGCAAATTGGATTCCAGCGGCTAAAAATGGCTGGGGAGGGGGGCTAATTACTTCACTGAAATATATTTTTGCCACATCATTTTTACAAAATGTTAATTTGAATTTCAATCTGTCACCAGATGCGATCTTAAGTTAGTTATACTCCCGTTTAATTTAGATCTTTCACTGCTTTATTCTATTGTGATGAAGAGCCGCCCTTGACCGGGAAATAATGGCTGCATAAGAGCATTAGGGAAGTTAAATCTATCAAAATCGCTTTATAAGTCAACGAGCGTTGGTTTAAAATCACGGCATTGTTACGTCACATAACATTCTATAACTTGGGCCATCGATAACGTGTCCCCTCATTGTATGTGTTATGTATGGATCGTACTTCTTAGAAAATTGGATTATGATGCAATTTTTGTTCGCTATCGGGGCTTGTAACTAATCACAATTTAATAAACAGCCTTGCGAATTGAGACGCAGCTGCATTATTTGTTTTATTTTATTCTTTGTTGCTGTCCATAATTTTGGACAAGTCAAAGAAGGTGAGGTATAGATGGGATGACCGTTTAACGTTTTTGGCAATGAGACAGCCATTGGTTTCAAATAGCAGAATAGACAAGAGAGAATAAAGTGGCGGATATAGATGTTACTGTGTACTTTTGGCTAGCAATAATTTGCGTACTGCACATTTACGTACGTTTGTTTGTAGGCAAATTCTTGTAACTGTGAGAACCTAATATATATCTAGATTCACTTTTTCACATCAATATTTTTATTATAATTTTTTTGCCGCTGACAAAATGTTAAGTTTAAACGACACGTAAGTTTCGTCATGTTATGGGAATTGGAAATATTGTTATTGTTGAAATCTGGAAATCATAATACGTAAATGAACAACGACAGCCATGACTCATATCTGGCGGAAAATCGTCCAGTCACTGAAACCTTCCTTGTCAAAATAAAACGTCTGCGATTTGTCTCAGTGTCATTTATTGCCTTATTGTGGGAGGTCTTCAATTCTATTATCGAAGTGTATTATTTTCGTGGTTTTAATCAAAATTATACGTCAAATATTATGCTCCCCGCGCTTGATCTAACGATAATCACACTTAACCGATTCTGAGTGTCTGTACAACTTGGACGCGAAAATTTTATGAAAATATGTAGAAAATCTATATCGAGACATTTAAGTAGCCTAGTTCTTATGGCGACAAATGAAATTCGCAACTATAGCGTGCGTCCTTGCAGGACAACAATTATTTTACCTAGGATGAAATAGCGAAAACGGAATTTCGCGCTCATCGTGAGAGGCAGAAGATGGACCTGCAGAAGTATGCGTACCAAGATGGCGCACAACCTGAACATACTGGTTAGGGTACAGGTTGTGCGTCATCTTGGTGCACATACTTCGGGAGCGCCCAGAAGATAGTATTAGTGTGAAAAGCATTTCATAAAAAGAGCAAGCTGGAATATGTAGGCTACTTAAACTTCCTGTACTTATGTTCCCCAAAATAAAACTCAGCAGAGCAGCTAAATATAGACAGCTTTTGTAATTTATGTTGCGGTAAAATTCACAGCAGTTAGGTTAATTTAATTTAACACAAATCAATAGAATTTAACCCGTCTAGTCACGTAAAAATACACATTAAATTCAAATGTGTTTACCCAAAGCCATGCCCATGTTTACGGAAACATTGCAAAACAAGTTCGCGCTCAGACTCTTTACTGAACTTTCTTGCGCACGCGACTTCCTGCTGAGAAACAGTGTTAACGATCATAAAGCCTGGATATTGCCGATGTCGAGAGACAGAATTCATGGCGTCACGGTAAAGCAAGTGCAAATTTTTTATCAGATTAACCTTGTAACTAGAATGAAGAGAATTTTAAGACGTCATTTAGTCTTAGGATATGGTGAAAAACCATACCTATACTGAGAAATATGGCGCGGAATACGAGCTACAGAAACGTGGTGCTAACAAATGTTTCGCACTGGCGAAGCGAGAGACCAGGCAGGCGCCACGCCGGCTCGAGCGTTTCGGCTGCCTTCCCGGGGTTCGCTATCAATTTATCTCGACAACTGCGATCGATATTGGTTAGTTATAGCACCCCCGAAGGCCAATCCTTTTCATTTGAGACATAAAATTGATGGAAATATCGAGGAAAGTCGTCAGTAAAAACCTCGTCTTGATAGATTAGCGAATACGAGTCAGAGATTCGCATACACGACACAGCATTATTCAGCCTTTAGTTAGAGAGCAACGTGTCCTAGAAATATTTCAAATAATTCATTACGGTAATCAGAATGGGAGATTAGTTTTAGTGTCATTTACCTTTGCGTCACCAGTACGGCACGGCACCTTTTGCAATCCTACCAAGTTTTAGAACCACACGGACACGAGAATAATATGCTTCTTAAGCAAATAGTTTCTATTCTCGGTTTTCATTTATATGGATACACTGTGGCAAATTGATTTTGAAACCGCATAAATTTTTTATGCCATATCACCGTATTTCTTTTGATATTGGCAGTGTATGGCAGTCACGTACAATATTTCGTATAATAGTCGTAAACTTAGTGATTGTTAAGGCAAATAAATTATTTATTGTTAATTTGTAGTGTGTATTATTATATTCAAAAATGCATGTAAATTCTGACATTGCCCTGTGTGGCTGGCTATTTGACGGATCCCACCCACGAGGCCGAAATATGCCGGTACCTCAGGGTCAGACGGTTGAGCTTTTGCTGTACTAGGGAATGTCTTGTTCAAGTGGGCAAAAAAGAATTGTTTGGCTACTTGATGAATATGATATGAAAAGCTTCGTTTTCTCGTTGACATATTTTCTTGTTCATCTTTTAGCAGGTATTAGTTTTAAGAAATATATAGCACAAGTAGAAACTGTGACAAATATGGCGGATGATTTAATTTTCTCTCCGCAACCTCGAATGTTTATAGACCTCATACCACCAGAAGAAGAATTTGAGAACGTTACCATACCACTGGAAGGAGAGGAATTATGTGAACCGCTGAAACAATCCTATTTACTTGTTGTATCTGTGGCTCCAGGACTGGTGGCGGTTGAAAATCTTGCGTTCTTGTTTGCCGTGCTGCTGTACAGAAAGAAACTGAAGCACAATAACGTATACACGTATGTCACGAGCGCACTCATTGCCAATGTTTTGACGAGTTTGTGGGCGTTCTACCACTTTATCAACTACTATTTTGGACTAGAAAGCAAGGAACCAACTCATTGGTGGGCGTTTCGTAAGGGTAAGTGCGGTGTTTCTAATAGTATCTGTGTTCTGAAGTATTTGGAACGGACTTCCAATACGAAGAATTTGTTATTATCCCTGCAGTTATCTCTTCAAAGCTTATAGAATTCAAACATCTAAAATATTATCCAGGGGAATGAAATTATGACATTTAAATACTTGAATTTTGTACATTTGATTAGCGTTAATTTGGATTTCTGAGAAATTTTCACTTGCAATTTGAACATGTGAAGGACGTTTTAACAAGTTTCAGATCCACGTTTCTAAAGCAATGTGTCGTTATTAGTTAGTAGTTGGCTGATAACTTTTGTATTTTATCAACTCGAATATCATTTATCCATACCCAATGCCAAGGACCAAGCAAAGTAATATGGAAATATTTTTGAAATGATCTCACGGTTAGCAATTGTATTTTCACGGTTACTTAGTCCCGCGGTAAAGAACGGATGTTGAATGTTGAAATCCGGGATAAATACTTTTATTAGCATTTTCATCCTCCCTCATTTTCAAAGATCAGTTAGAATTTTTAATCAAGTAATTTCCAACGCCTAAGTATTGCACGTAACTATGTTGAGGAAATGCCGAAATCCGAAACTCTGTATAGAATAACTCATTAGAAATAAACTCAATTTCCTGATGATTGCAGTTAGAAGTCGACAGTAAAGTTTTTGAACATATTAGCTAACATATGATTTGGTACCATGGATAATCGAGCCACATCTATTAAAAACACGCCTAAATTTTCTCATTTACGAAATGTGATACCACGTAATATTCACGTTAATAACTAAACTTCCCGCGATTCAGAAGCGGTGATACAATATTGTGTTCATCATGCAATCGGCTTTTCCATTGTTTCATTTTTTTTAATTACCGTTCATTGGAAGTAACACGAGGCGACGGCATACTGTATCCGCCTGTTTTATGATTTATATCACGAACTGCGCATGTTGCACTCGGCGCCTTTTTGAAATGAGACGCTGCTTTGAGTGTATTTCAGTAAATGGCACGTATACATATTAAAACTGAGTTCAAATTAGTTATATTATATACCTGTACTCCTGAAAAAGATTTTAACATTTGGACGCTTTTTAGGTCTGGTTTAGGGTTTCATCTAGAACACGATCATCTAATTTGTGTGTGAATCGCTTTGCTGCCGATATTTATCAACGCTATTTACTAGAAAGGGTTATTTCATACAAAATGTCATGATTATCCTGCATTTTCTGACTTGGACTGGCCGTATTACAAAAGTGGCCGCTGGAAAATTTGATATCACAGTCATGGCCTATTTTTCGCGATACCTCGAATACAAAACATATTTAATGGTAGTTGTGAAGCTTCATTAAAAACAATATATTGCCGAACACTTTCCTCAACAATATTTACTGTATATTATCTATATATACAATTTGCTTCAAATCAGCATTATTTACATTGTTCCGACTATATATTATTTATAGTTTAGGAAAATTCAAACTCGTTTCACAAATTTGACGTCAATTGAGTTTGTCGGAAATAACTGTCAGATGCAGTAATGAAAGATTAGCTTATCAGCATATTTTCACACTAAATAACACTGCTGATGTTAGAAGATTTTGCTGATGGGAAATTGCAGCAAGTCCATCGACATATTATATTGTAATTTATGAAAATTGCACATACCAGGATTTCTTGTTTTGCAGCATTTAAACATTACATTACACAGTCCATTATATGTTCCGTAGTTGGTTAGGTTGGACAGAACCCCCCACTGGTATCGTGCTGAAGCGTAAATAGCAAGCTTATGTTTCCAAATTCATTTAAAAACACTTTGGCATTCATAAACTCATCAGGCTGCACCAAATAAATACAAATGTTTACATACGTTACTGGACCGATTTCGGTCCAGAAAATTTGCAAAATTAAAAGATTCGAATGTGTTGAAAGACTGAATTATGGATGACTCAAAATCTTTAGAAGCGATGTTTGAAAGCCGTATCAATCAAAGTGTATGATACCTAGTTATTCGCAAGTAAATATCTCTTGACGTTGGATTAGTGTTGCAGTTCAATGGTTTTATCAGAAATGATCAACGACCAGTCATATTCGGCTCATAATTGGCCACGTAAAACCAATGATAGTTTTGGTCGGAGTTTTGGTTGAACGTAATATTAATTGGTCATCTGCGCATGACAACCAGCACATAAGACATGTTATATTTAGCTTCTATCTATGATTTGCTTCCAAAGGTTGAAGTTCAAGTAATCACTGCAATGCAAAGTGTACAAAGTGTTTTGAAAAAACGAAACTTTCGGAGTTTGTTTTCCCCTAGACCGGGTGGTGTGGATTTGAGAGCACACATTCAAATATCTGTGAAATCTATCTGCCGATAATTATTCTTCAGCTTGTGGCGTATCCATTGCAGTCGCTCTAATGTCCTAAAGCTTTTCATCATCATCTAAGTCATAAGTAATTCCGGACGGCTAAAATGCTAGGCACAGTTGGCTAATATTGAATAAAAAGCTTGGTTTCGGCCTTAGTATTTAGGACAATTTATATATATTTTGAGTAAGACTGAACGGGCGTCGTGGCAGGATGAGACAATCATAGAAGGTCCATAGACGGCGATAAAAATGAAACGCTGTTGACAATCTTTTATCTTCCTATTTCATTAGCTTATTAGCAATGTACAATATGAAGAATTAATTATTTCATTACATCATGCCGAATTAAAATATTTCGCGGTATATCTAAGGCAATTGTACATTTCAAAGATAATTGAAACACATTATATTGATGGGTGATGATAGCTGGATTGTTTTCCCGTCATTTGAATGAGTCGACATTGTTACGTCATTGTGTCGACCAGGTACAATCCATAGTAAAACGTTCTATAACATGATCAAGTGTAATTGAAGTACGATTCCATGTATGGGCGAGTGACGATGAGTGAGATGGATAATATTTTGATACGCTTTTCCTCTTTCGGTCCTGGCATGACCGACTATACGTTTAGTCAATCAATTTACAACTGGCTGAAGATCATTTGTCCATGTACTTCATGTCAGCGATTTGTTTTCCATTGGGAATTTCCTATTTATTTTACTCCCCGGGGAAAAATTTTGGCTCGATAGTTTTCAACTACTCATATCATACCAGTTACTTACTAGTTACTGTGAAACCGAAAGTCGTAATTTGTAGAATGGTTGGCCATGAGTGGAATTGTTCATAATTAGGATGTGCTAAATTAAAAACACAGTTTCTGTCATGGGGACGCTTATACTTTTGGGCAATCAAGTATGGTTGATATTAATATTTTTTGGCATAATTGATCTAATCTAGTTGGCAAAGAACTTTACCGCAAAAATTTCGTCAGAACCAAATATACCAGATTTGGCGGCACTTTGATTGGCGGGTAAGGCGAAAATTGACATATTGCCCTCGACTGTCAGATATGTAAAAGGACAAAAGTAGTCAAAACAAATCGAATAACTCACATGGAGTGTATTACTCCGATGCAAAATATGAGAAAATAATTGTTCCTAAATTGAATTTTTCGTAGTGAATTACGTTTGTTGTAAATGTCAATGCACATGCTATACACGACTAGACTTGATTTAAAACGAATCGACCTTATCATTCGATTACTTGAACATGATACATACAGAAAAAGTTGAGTACAACACAAAGCTATTTCTTGACAGTAATTTGTCGTAGTTTTTAAAACGAGTTGAGAAATTTTTCAAGAATATTCTTGCGCAAACGGGACTTATCGCAAACTATTTTTGGAGCAAAAATCTAGCATACTCTGGACTTTATTCACAATATGAGCTTCTACATTTTTTTTTCTCAAACTTTTTAAAATCTGGAATATACATGCACCAGATGCTTTATATCAGCCATAACGCCCAGTAACAGGATTTACTCATTGCCTTAAATTGTAATATAATATTGGAATTGGCTTAACCTTTAAACTTTTCAGTCGGCCTTCAAATTGTATTGAATATTTCGGAATTGGCTTAACCTTTAAACTTTTCAGTCGGCATTTAATTCGCATCGCTTATTATTATGGATCGGGGGGATGAAAAATCCTTTAAGGGGAAAAATAAGCGGGTAAATAGGTTTTCGATATGGTATATGGAATGAGATCATCCACGATGGATAAAAATATTACCATGTTTTACTATATTATATATTGGGTCACTTTAACAAAACAAAAAAACGATGATTCAATTTTTCTGTTTTTAGTAACGTAAAATTTTCCGGCGTTCTACAACAATCCCAACTAAAAATAGACACTTCGTAAATCAGATCGCGATGGTCCTTGAAATCTCCTAATTTGTAAAAGCTTAATCAATTTCATGTTCTGTGATCTTTATTTTATAGGTATGACAGCAGGATTCAGTCTCATTTTATGTGGTAACATTGGACTCCTCATTTATGCTATTGAAGACAACACTTATATGGTCGGAAGATTGGTGTCTGGAACCATCACCACCATAAAGTCAAATAATAGGTTGGTTTTGGTTATATGCTTGAAAATATATTTTAAATCGAATATCTTCTGTGGCATAGCTATTATTATCAAAGTTCTTGCCAGTTTTCATTTTTTTTTAATCGAAGTGAGTTGTTTCGGCCTTCCTATTTCCAAAGACGTGCCGGGCAAAATTTTGACAATGACTGAACAGCGTTGGTAGAGCAAGGGCCATCGTGGGTTGGGCACAATTTGTGTGGCTTAAATTTGGACACTGCTATAGATTGAATTTTAGTTCAATACCCAGAACCGTCAACCATTGCTTTAAATTTGAAAAAAAAGTCTAATATGGATTCCTTTTATTCGTAATTTTTCTTGTCTAGTTTAACTTGAGACAAATGGTCCCTTGAGATTCAGTAACAAGCGTATGTCGATATTTTTCTCCACTGGAAAGTTAAGTCGATTATGTGCTATTATTAACTTTGAAAAGAATGTTTCGATTCAAATGGGGTAAGATATCTTTAGCCAAATATGTAAAGTGATCCACATCATGCATGGAAAGGCGATAAAATCAGCGGAAATTTGACTGACAGGCGTTTCATCAATTATGCGGTGTTTCTTAAAATATACATCGACTCAGGAAAATGCAAAAGTTTGATTGAAGGACAATTATAGACCTTAGCTTGGCATTATTGAGATGTATTCAGGGTCATATTTAGACGATGAGAGGTCCTAGGGCAGTTTTCTTCACCGCCTTTTATATCACGACCCACTTGGCACAGCCGATATTTTTCGCGACCCACAGAAACTAAAATGAAGATAATGTAAAATTTGATAATACAAAAACTATCAAAAAAAAATAATAATAATAAAATTGACAATACCCTAATGAGACAGTTGTTGTGTTAGGCTTCAAACAAATAACCTTTTGGGAAAACTTTTCTCTTGATCTTCATGTTAATTGAAACCTGTGATTAAAGCCGACTGAGAGCTTCACGAGAATGCATTTCATTAATTTTTTGACTCATTTTCACGCCTATTTGCAGTTATATTACCGCTAGCGACGAAGAATGAGCGAATGTTATTTTTATAGTAGAATTCTCAGTATTTTTTGTGATTGATTTACATCGTTCTCACTTCGGTACTTTTTAATTTTTTAGGATGAACCGAAACTTTCGCTGGAGAAAAGCATTATTTCTTATCACATTCGCTTGGATTATACCTGTTATTTACGGATTACTTGCTATGACGCCTTGGAATTGTACATGGGATTGTACTTGCACACTTTATCTTGCTAGTGGAACCCCGCTTTGTCCAGGAAAAGACTGTTCTCGGTTATACACACCGATGGCTAAATCATATTTGCTTTGCATCGTAATTATTTGGGCACTGGAGTGCGGCTTCCTACTTTTTGTCATCTGCAAAGCTGCTATATCATTCCCGAAGCTCGGAAGTCCGTCAAATCGCGTCGATAATGCGTACTCTACTACAACGAATGTAACTTCACCCGATCCCTCGAATAATAACTTATCTAAAAGAAAATCAAGCAATATTCGAAAATTCTCCCCAAAAATGGCGCGTTCCTACCGCTTCCCATTCTTCTTACTGGGTTTGTTCATTTGCTGCACAATGCCGGCTATGATTTTATTCATACTTGATTTTGCTTTGCTGGCCTTCAAACCCGGTGCCATCACCGTAAACGTCATCACACCACTTCCTCTTTTATATTGCGTCATCAGTCCAATTTTACTGACGAAGCGGTTGTCCGGAATGCGGTCAGCAGTCCAAATGGCATTGTCGTTCAATTGGCTCAAAGGCGGATGCAATAACTTTTCGAATAAAAGAAGAAAGTCGATGGGAAATTCAACTATAAGAGGATCGGTGATTTCAGTCACTCGTAACTCAGAAGCGAAATTTGATAGTAAAGGGAGTATGCCACCAACATCAGTTTGAGCGCAATGGGCCTCTGGATGAATAAACTCTAAGCTATGCTGCCCAGGATTGGATGCAACTTTCGAGTAATTCATCGTCATGGTACACGTTGTACAAGATTGATGCTATGCCTACAGTTTCAAACATGAAGTGGACTCATAGTGACTGTTTTTTTCATATGGGAAATTTTTGTTATGTCGTTTGAAGGTATATAATATCAACGATATATATAATAAATACGACCTCAATTTTGCGATAAAATTGCGAAATTGAAAAAACTTTCACAAATAAACGATAGCTAATATGAAGTTACAACTCTTAGTTATCGTTCATTTGTCAAAGTGTCCATCGTTTGGATTTGTCCAAGCATGTTTATATGTTCACCAAAAAGGTAATGGAACTTACCATCAGAGTCTGATACGTGGATGTATATAACTGAACTGATGTATATTTATACGTGATGGTACTTGTGGAGCATGAGATTATTTGAGATGAAAAAATTTTTTTTTTGGTTTTCGATATTTCGGATGATGACATTTTTGTGATAGTTCCCGATATTATGTTTCTCTCACACGTCCCAATCAAGTATGCTAGTTTTTGCTATTATATTTCGTATTTTTTGACGAAAAAGGATTTGAACGCATAGGTTATAATGTTTGTGAATATTTCATTTATAAAACAATCAGAAACCACATCTTTTAAAGAATTTATATTAGTGTGGACAGGGGTGCCAGTAATGTACAGCAGAATTGTTTTCATAATATTTCAATTGGCGTTTTTTACACTTTTGTTGCAAACCATATTTAAAATAAGCCAGTTAGCTAAATCCTAAAATTTGAAACCGGATCTTCCTGATTCGGCTCAGCTTACCCAATGAGTTACGTCCTAGAATAAGCGGTAGGCCACTGTATTCACCCAAGCTCCAATACGAGGACTGTGCCTCCTAGCGGTTATCAGCATACTTTTACAGGTCAACAAGTTTACTTGTTTTTGTCGAACAACCGAACGCTGTTATTTTCCAATTGTGCACAGAAACAAAAATGGCGATCGATATTTGTTTTTAATTTGTAAATCCATCTTCTAATTACTTTGTTTGCAAATAAAATCTTCAAAATATTGCAGGCCTGTATTCTTTGGTCAGTTTTTGCAACGACTTGGGTGAGAAGATTAGTCATTGTGGCGTGTAACGTTTTTGTGGAAGGAACGCGTACAGCATTGGAGTCTGCGCGAGGTAAAATTGAAATTACTAAAAAAAATATCTAATTAAGTCTATAGGGAAAGATTAGTATTTCAGACATCCATCCTAGAAGTCACTCACTACAATAGCCATACTCGAAAATTGATCGAATTATATTCGACTATCACTGAACTTCCTCATAAAAGATACGATTTTATTAATCATATATATATATTACTCGAAATTAATCTATTGCAGGGCGTCAGATTACCTTTCCGCCATTCCCCGTTGGTCGTAGATGACGGAATTTACATATTCAGCGCAAAACTTCCGAAAATTTCGCCGTCTTCATTTTTATTAAAAATGAATAATTATTTAATAAAAAGATTCAAATTAAAGTTTCTATAAATCTTAAACGCCATGAATCAACGGGACAGACTTCGATTTTTTTCTCTATCTTCGACGGGACTAATTCATTACATGCCCCCTGGTCCAAAACCTGTTATCCGTAATTTATAGTGATCTCATCCTCCCTGTCCACTATTCTAACAGTGGTACCCATGCGCCCTTGCTTGAGAGTTGAACAACAGAAAAAAAAGCAAGTCTTCTTTCATATATTTAAGTATTATTATCTGAACTTGACGGTTATATTTTGTGGCTTGGGAGCAATGTCGCCATTTATTCTTTGTAATCTATTAGGAACAAGTGACCAATCTAATGTTGTGTATTGCATCGATGATTTTTTCATTGTTCTCGCTTCAACCATTTCTTCCAATGTTGGAAAACATTCCTTGAACAGATTTAGAAAATATAAGAATATGCCGCTAAAACTAAATAATTGAAAAACACCTAAATATCTTAACAACTAGACAATATTTAGCAACGTATTTTTGAAGTAGATTTTTTCATTTGCATCCCGGGAACAAGGAAAGACGAGAAAATGGCTATGAACAACGGCGTCTTGTTTAGTTACCGGTACCATGCCAGTCCAGGTTGGGTATCCGAAAGGATAAGCGGAAAATGGAATCCAGATAGCCCATGCATCTGAAAACAAGTAACTGCCCAACTAATCCTATGTCCGACATGGACTGGAAACCGGACGAGAGTCGGTCGTTCCTCATATGATTGAGTCATTTTTAGGCTTTCCTCTCCCCAAGGATAAATACGTAAATCATATCCTATAGATAAATTTGAAAGATGGATGACGTCAAAATGGCCGGATGTCTACAAGGGAGTTCAGTAATCCCTTAGTAGCACATAATCAAAGCCATGTAGGGTAATCTTCACCATGTTTCCAACGCTCAGGACAATGTGTCAATCACCAAAAGCAATTGGGCGATTAAATCTACTGGAGACGGCGGTGGTAATTGCCGTAACATAATACAAAAAACTGACATCATATTACCATTTGAAAAGAGCTAAAGGGTTACATAAATCACCATGTCATTCCATAGCGATTCACGTCTCATGAAGATGATTCTTCTTAACATAATTTTTGTGATTAATTTAAAGTCATTACATCACTGGTTAGTGATACACAAGTTGAAATCAGCATTGGTGAATAAGTGAATTAGACTGGATGAACCCGATATCACAAGGTGATTAATTATTCACCTGGAAAGTTTCAGTTAGCTATTTCATAATATTCGTGGTTCAATATATCTATGGGTGAATATGAAGAGTTTATCCTATCTATATTTAAATTTGTTGAAGTTATAGCACTAACCTGCTTCTTATCAAGGTCATTTTTAGCCTGACTGGAAAGCTCATGTATTGTCGTTTTACTTTGCTGTAAAGTGGGGAAAGGAGGACCTCCAGATCGCCGTCCAAAAGCTATTGTTGCCTTCACTGCATTCTGTTTCTCTTCATAAATCTGTGAAGCTGCTGTTCTCTCTTGTGCAGTTACAGCTGTTTAAGTAAGAACATTATTTAAATGACCCAAAATATACTACATTGTACTAATTTGTATTTTGTTACAATCACAATTTTTAGTCTATATACCAGATGAGCGTCAACCACGTACTATAAAGTCCAATGTTGAAACATGAATAAATTCTCATCTACTTTTATTTCAAAATGACCTGGCTCCAACGCAAAATTGAGGTTTCTATCTTAATGTCAACATAATTCATATTTATCGATTTCCCTGTTGTTTATGACTTGAAGGTTATAATAAGGTCGGGCTCGGAATGACCTGTGTCTCTACTCAACTCCGGACTCAAGATTTAGGTATTTGCACCTAACAACTCGATATCAAAGGCAACCAAGAGATAAACCCTTCAATGACCATACAAAATGGTTAAGTTATGCTAATATTATGATATTGATAGACAAATTAACGTGATTGAAGAACAAAATGAATTAACTTACCTTGCCTATCAAAAAGTGTAACAGATGGACAGAAATGTATCAAATGTAATCTGTATCCTTGTACTTGTGATAATGGGTTGTATAACATGTCTGAAATAAAGTAAGACAACCTAAACAGGAACCAAAATCTATTTTCTAAAACTTGACACAAATGATGATATCGCCGTCGAAACTATAGGATTTTACAAAACTATAATGAAAATATTATCTATAATTTTGATTCTTCAAATACCTATTCAAATTCTATCTGAATACCAATAGTTGGAATCTTAATTAGACTCAATATTTTGTTCTGGATCCCTATTTTAAAAAACTTACTGAGTACATGGAGAGTACGCATTGGTCTGAGTTCTAATGTAGTTTCATCCAAATCATCAAGTTGATTGTTTTGCAGCATCAACACTTTCAAACAAGTCAGATGATGCAACATTCCAGAAATTGATTTGATATCATTATCGTTCAGGTATAATTCTGATATTCTGACAAAATAAAAAAGAGATAAAAATGAGTAGTAAAATGCAAACACAATTTAAAACTTAGATGTGTACTAAGCATGTGATTCAGTATTTCCATAAAAAATTCAAATTCTTATCTAATCTCAAAACAAGGGAAACAAAACATTTTGTGCGAAATTTTTTATTTGTTTGTATTATTACTACGAAAGACACAGAACCTTTCACTTATGAAAGCTTTGGAAATGTCAAAATTTGACTGAAAATTCAAATTTTAAACTATCAATGGCATTTTGATTTTGCAAACATAGACCCACTTGTTTATTTTGATAGAAATATATTTACTGATCTGCATTTGATGGTGTGCGAATATTGTGAGTTTGAAACCCATTGTTATTGATATATTACGAGAGGATTGCTGTAACCTCAGCGTCAAAGGATTTATTATAACTACGGTTTCCAATATTAACATCACTGATGCATATTAAAATTATTTTAGGATTAAACCAAATTTTCAGGTTTCATCTCTTCCGGACTAAATATGAAATTTATTCTACGCTGAAAGATTTTTATGATTGAATATAATTTGTTTATTAACCCTAACATCAATCTTTTTTTCATGAATTTCAAGTACTATAATAAAAAAATAATACTGGTATTGTCACTTTATATTGTAACCCATTTTTATACGTAAACCTAATCTTAGCGAATTACCTGTAATTAATATGCACAAAGGAGACATCAGGGTTACGAGGAAGACAAAGTTGACTCAATTTATTTCCTTGTAACCAAAGATGTTGAAGAAATCGAAATTGTTCTAAATTATCAAGATCAGTCAATCCACAACTTCCAAGATATAAATCTCTCACATCGTCATCACGTTTAATATTGTTGTCTCTCATATAACTCTGTATCACCTGCTCAAAAAAAACTGTATTGAAATAGGTTCTGGAATAACATATAGTTTGATACCGAAATTACATCTCTTGCGTCTATGTAAATTTCAACGCAATAATACTTTTATGGGATCTTTTCCATTTAATTAGGCCTATATGATACTCATTTTGAATGGGCAGAAAATATTTCCAATCCACAAAGTCCTACACAATATGTCACACCTTGGGAATGCCAGAAGAAGTCTTGTATTGAATTAAATTGAACAATGACTTGACTAAGTACAGCATGAATCTTAAGTTTAGAACCTAGAATGAAAATTGTTCCCAGTTATTCTAACCCCTTAATAAATATGAAATTACATTGTCCATTTTGACCCTATGAAAAGTTATGCGTCATCAAAAGCAAAGTGCAGAATACCTATATATTACATTTACAATTATATAATATGCCTTACTTGTTATAGTACACTTAACTATGGAACAGAGATTATATAAAAACAAAAAAGTTGAACTTACAGTCATTAAATCAACTTTTTCATCTGCAACAGATGGCATGTTTGTTCATCAGAGTATATATAACACTATAAATATGAAATTGATACCAGAACTAGGATTACTTTTTTTAATCCTTTCTGAGATGATTATTTTCCTTCTTTAACTAATTAAACATATCTACTTTCGTGTCCTCCAATTCCTAACCATGATTATAGTATACGACCTAGAAAAATACCGGTGAATCAGTTTATTTCATATCAAAGGTGAATACAGTATACAGCTACAGATAATTAACAAAAAGCGAAAAAATTCAAACACAGTGATAGCCTATTGCCTAAATGTTGGAAAAATTTGACAACAGAAATGAGTTCCGTCTAACATTAGACCAGTATATTCAGATAGTCTAGCTGACCTGACCAAGACATGTGGTTAGCCCTATTATAAAGTTGTCTTATCACTTTCTTTACGCGGGATATAAGCGAAATCATACACTTCGCAACTCAACCAAATATTTTAGCAAAAGCGACATATTTTGTAAATAAGAAGTCACAATTTTCACTGTTATTTTTCCGTACCACCCAAGCATATCGGCATCCATGGTTACCTTGCGTTGCGGAAAAGCTTAGTCGAGAGACACTTGGGGGCGTGCGATAGCCATTGATAACCAAAGCCCATATATACCGATTGATAACGAACAAAGCGATGGGACAGGATTTACATATTTAACTTGTGTGTGCCTCTGTAGGTAATGCAGAACACAGATTTGAACCTTCAACATTTCTTCCCACCAGGGTTGTAAAGTCTAACTATAATTACAGTCCCCTGGAAGAAAAAACATTCCAGCTGAAAGTCAGGGTTGAAAAAAAATTCCATTTCCTAAAATTTAAGAGATCTGGGGGCTTCGAAAATAGGGCCCCAATACCACCCGTGTCAATCTACGATTCCATATCCCTGTTAGCAATAAATATTAACCATCTGCTGGTCTTTTATCGATAAAGACCGGCAGCCTGCATAATTCCGGAAATTTCAAAGTTTTCAAAATGAACTGTCTAAACAGTCGTTGTTCTAAACTTGTGGTTCTCAAATTTTCAAGTCTCGCGCACCATCTCAAAAGTAACTAGCTAACAATAAGCTACAAATAACAGATAGTAAGACCCATGCTAAGATAATAAAGATACAAAGCACAACAGCCTCCGCAATCTCTAAAAAAATAAAGTTATGTAAATATTCGAATAGAGGGCAAGATCAAATCTAACAAATATTTTTATTCTTAATTAGCTTCACTTGTCTACACCTCCCTTGTGGGGCGCGCCCCATGGTTTGAGGACCACTGATGTAAACAATGAAACTGATGTTCAATATAGTAATATTTAAATTTTTTATTGCATAATCAGATTTAAAAATTAGCATCTGAAAACTTAAAACAAAGAAAATTACAAAAACAACATATATATTCAACAATGATAATAAGAATAACAATGATAGGTTGTTAAATTCCCTGACCAAAGCACATTAATTCAATTTTACTTATCAATAAATGTTGACAAATAACCGTAAAGCATTCTTTGAGATTTGAGCTTTAGAGCAAAATCTGCAATCATTCCATGCATTATCAATGGTATAGTTCAGGGGTCGGGAACCTTTTTGGTCAAGAGAGCCATAAAATATACATATTTTCAATTGCATTTCCGTGCGAGCCATATAATATTTCTTCACTTAATCAGGCCTGAAATGTTTACTCAAAAGTCAACACACACAATGTCAATATACATTTAATGTGATTTCTGATGCTGCATGTAGTCGCTGCGGGCCTTGAACGGTTGCTCACTTGCAGCCCAAGTTGAAATCTACGTACTCATCACCCTTTTCGTTTAGGCATCTCCGTAGTGTTTTTAAAACTCTACCGCTTTGTGATGTCACAATATATGTTCCAGAATCCCCTTGTTTGTCACAATGCCTGTCTGGTGATTATCTTACATAACATAGACATGTGCTGGGCGCGCGTTCTCAAACGTATTGGGAATTTTCTGCCAAAATTGGCTATAAAAGTGGCTATAAAATTTCGTAACAATAGTAAGCTTAGTCTTAGAATATTAGATTTTTCTGGGAGCCATATGCCGTCACCAAAAGAGCCATATATGGCTCGCGAGCCATGGGTTCCCGACCCCTGGTATAGTTGGATTGGCAAATCTCAGTGGAAGATGAATTAAAGAATGCAACAAAACACTGTAGTTGCAATCTTATATAAATATGCACTCATGATTTAAAACTAGCAGATATGGTACCATCGTACCACCTTTGTTTTGAATTACAGGCATATTTTATGAAGAGTTTAAAATTGGATCGAATTTGCTATCAAAATCAGAAAAAATGAAAAGTTAGAATGAAGGAGTTTGTAATGCGAAAGCATGAGATTTTTCAAATAATAAAAGACTATTAATGAAGCAGAAAAGGTTGCTCATAATGATGATAAATTATTGTCCATTCATTGAGCAATAATATTTGATTTGTAATCAATAAAGGATTAAAAACTTTAAATTAATGATTGGTATGCGGCCAAAAATATGTTTCTTCACAACTTGGCCTGCGCTTTAAATAATGTTTCCAATTTCTGTGCCAACATGATATTGCCAGCAGCCTTGAAACGTCCACTGAAGAAAGCCTAAAATTAAACAAATATTGACAACTCTGTTGAGAATGAATAGTGTAAGATTTTGATACTCGTGTAAAGGGAAAGGTTATTGGATGAAAGAAACGCACCCGCTAGCCAACTTGTTATCAAAATGTGTTTGAAAAAAACAGTTTATTGATATAGATGATTGTCTGGTAGTGAATGCTACCAGTTTATAATAAGACAGCGGTTCCCAACCGGGGGCCCTCGGCCCCCCCTAAGGAAGCCACAGAGCAGTTTGAGAGGGGCCACAATGCTAGCCGCCAAACTGATTTTACTTTTCACTTTACAAGAAAACTCCCCGTTCTTCCTAGTTTATTGCTTGATAAGGTTATTTCACAGGGTTTTTTTCGCTTTTTTTATGCATGAATTGTTTGAACATAATGGGATTTGGAATCTTCCAATCAAAATAACACTATAAATACCCCTGGATTGATAAACAGGGGCCACGAGTTTTAAAAACCTCCGCAAGGGGGCCACGAGAAATCAAATTAAACTTATAACGATTAAAATTCACAATCAGAGGTAAATTCTTTAAAATATCACCTGTTGGGGATTTAGCTTTCCTGAAAACATTAGCATCACATCATCATCAGAAATGGTGAGTGTACAACCAGGTTTTGAAGCAGGACCACTTGTCATTGATCCAGAACCATTTTTGAGATCAAGTGCTATTAATGGAGAAAACATTAAAGTATATGCACACTAGGTCTTACGCCATTAATTTGCGTTTGGGCAATTACTTTCCTAAGTGGGCCACTTACAGATATTACACTTGGTCATTGGGCCGGAGGTTGAAAATTTAATACGAAACTATGAATGAGAAGCAGTTTTTATGAATGAGATGCAGTTTATATACGAATAACTAGCGGCAATTAAAAATCGCCTGCCTGCTCATTTCACTGATGAAATGAAAACACAAAAATGAAATAGCATATAACACATGACAAGCAGGTGGTTTTGGCGACCATCTAGTACAAGCTTATATGTGCAAGAGGCAAGAGCGCACCTGCGCGCCATGTGTTGTCAACTCTGTGTTACAAGTTTACCTCCTTGTAGAAGGAAAACAAATGACATTCGCATAATTCAGAATAGATTCATTTGTAATTTGTCTTATTTGACATCTGAGGGTCAGACAAAAATTTATGGCATTCCAGTCAAAGTTTATAAATGTTTCCAGAATATTAGGTAATTGTTTCGATTTATGGCCGTCCTTATCAAGAATATGTTATCTGGGTATCAATTTGACAACTGCTAGATTATTGTTATTGAGTCCATTTCGCTTACCATACAGAAAATATCACACAGATTCTTAAGTATTTATAATTATAGACGAAAATGACCTCAATATATTTAAATAAAATTCACACCAAACCTTCTTAATAACAATGTGACTTGACATAAAAGAAATATTGACATACCCCATTGCCTTGTGACCTTCCCATTTTTAGTGATATTCCATTGGTAAATTGCATTTACTTTCTTCACCATATCAGCATTGATTAAATTTTGAACCCCTTCAAACAAAGCATCACTCTCCAGCTTGTCTTCAACAGGCTGGAATGTAGATAAAATTTATTCGATTTTTTTGTCAAGAAATTTGTTGATAGGCATCTTTGATTATCAACAAAAAATCCAACCTGTTCTTGTGCCTGATTTACACTGCTCGATGAACTGCTTGAGCTTCCGGTTCCATCTACTAAGTCAACATATCCACCAGTTAAACAAGCGACTCCAGTTTCTACTACAACAGTTTGGAAGTAAATTCTGGAACCTTCTTTCCACATGTCAGTTCGCAAGGTTTGTCCTGGCAATACTGGCTTGGCAAAACGAGTCTAAAAAGAAATGGGCAGATATGAGAATAAAATATGTCGACTGATGAATGTGGTTGCTCGATCGGTGCTCCAGGAATGTGTGTACCAATATGGAGGTAACTAATTTTGTTCGCCTATTTTACATCAAGTTGTGTAAAGGGACTGAAACATATATTCACTTGGCTAACACAGACAGTCTCCGAACTTCGAAAATCGAAATAAAATTATGGCCTAATCCTAACCTGGTACACACACTACGGGAATACCGCTCAATCTGTATGGAAGGTTGTGGGATTTGTGAATGGCTAAGGCAATTTGTTTGATACGAATCTTTGACACAATGACAATGCATCAACAAGAAAAGGCACAAATGAATAAAAAAAGACCAAAATGGAAAGCAAAATCCTACCTTAACTGCTTTAATTTTATTTGGATCATTGTCACCATACTTCATCATAACATGGCGAGCTGCATATCCATACGAGCATAAACCATGTAGAATTGGTTGTTTAAAACCACCCATTGCAGCAAAAGAAGGTTCTATATGAAGAGGATTTGAGTCACCAGAAAGACGATATAATGCAGCTTGATCCTTGCTGGTTTTCTCTGATATGCTTGCGTCTGGAGAACGCTTAGGTGGTTTTACAGGTTCCTAAAGGTAAGTATAGGAAAAATTTATATTACACATGACATTCAGCTGTAATATGGCAGTCTGTCCTTGATGACGGAAAGCCAGTGCAGCGAAAGTCAATTACACAACTATAAAAATCATCATATTTCCAATTTATCATGAAATAGTAAATTGTGGTGACATCACAGTGAAGAACATTACCGGTATATCATTTGATGTGAGTTTTAAACACCTATATTGTAAATAACACGAAGGGGCGAAAGTAATATCTCGGTACATCAATTTTCAGGGGAATAATAGATTACCTTCACTCCTGAAGATGATCTTTGACCTCCAAAGTTACCATAACCAACAGCAAAAGTCACAAACTGATTGAAAAATAATCTTTCACCAGATTCATCGAAAGTATCAACTGTAATAGTGAACGAAACGTTATTTTTTATTCAATGTCAAAAAAGTTCATTCACACGACTGTTTTCCCCAAACCATCAATGCCTAAGTGGCCACTTTTACAGAGCATTGTTCAAAGCAAATACCAGCCCATAATAATAAACCCTATTATATAATGTTAAGGATTGAACAGCTTGCTTCAAACATGACCAAAATTTACACCTCAAATCACGGTTAATTTACTTTTAATTCTCAATATTACTAAAAACAGTTGAAAAAAAAATTGTATTCAAGGCAACACATGAATTGATAACAATAATAATCTTTAACTAAATATACCATCAGTTATAACAGCTGCTCCAGATCCCTTGTCCAAGACAGCAGAAATCTTTGTTTGACTTGTTAGCTTGCCAGATGTTGGGATAGGCTTGAAGATTTCAATGTATTGTTCTCCATGAAGAATCTACATGGAAAAGTGAAACAATATACAAGATTTGCAAGAATGCTTGTGGCGAATAGTTTGAATATTGTCCAACTAGAAGCATAGGCGTTAGCTTCACCAAAGCACGGATTATTAAAATAATTTCCATGGTTCTTCTCAGATCATGGATAAATCCGTTTTGTATTTGTAAATGATGCTACTCAAGACTGCATCAGACCAAACTAAACTTATAATAATTCAAACCATGAGCAAGAGAAAGTTGGATCAATGCTTATAGGAATGTATAATAGGACTTGTTACTTTTTAGTTTGAAGCCTGATATCAACCAAACCGTTTTCCAAAGTGAACTAAAAAAGCATTAATTTGACTGAGCATTCTCTATGGACAAACAAAGGTTTGAATATGCTACAACCCCGTTCTTCAGTGTAGCACGATCAAATTTAAAAACTGTCAACTGACCTTAGCTGGATTGATACTGAGTCCAGGAACGTTTGTGATTCCTACCATACTAGTAAATGCAGGCACAACGGCAAAAGTAGGCAAGACACAAAAATCATCATTCATTTCGAACAAAAATTTCAGATGATCTTCCTGAGTGGTAGATGCCCCAACTGTAAATGTGAAAATATCAAAATGAAATAGGATAGAAAGAAGATTATTGAAAAATTTTATGAGGTTGCCATCCACTAGTGAAGTTTTGATATTATATTATATTGATAATTTCTCAAACAATGATTTCTGCCAATGCATAAATATATGTATTAGGCTATGATGAACTAAGTATCCGAATTTTGTTTTCTATCTTTTTATTTAGTGACACGACTTCAATTGAATCTTAGGCCAGATCTTAAGTTTGCAATGTTCACACAGTATAACCAACCCTTGAATCACTTTTGATATAATATTTTTGAATACAAAATATCGAACTTTTTCTCAAGTAGGGTCATATTCAACGAAGAAATTTACAGAAATCATTATCTTTCAGAGAAATTTGATTTAGTAATATAGAATAGCTGAATTAAACATTGTTTCGGTGTCATAACCAAATGAAGTCTTAAGTTTTTGTCAGACCATTAAATGCCATATATTTCAAATGATAAATATTGTATCAATTTTTCAAAAAATCAAGAATCCACTATGTCAAATATAACCAATTTCGAATGTATTTAAATAATATTCATTTGGGCATCACTGGTTGAAGATTATATAACTAGAAAACCTTATTTCCATCAGGTACTTACTTCCTAAAGCATACTTAATAACATCATTGCTATTATAAACATGTACACATGGTTCAGATTCATGCTTCATCGCTATAGATGGTTGTATAGGATGGTTTGAATGAAGGTCATTGTCTCCAGATTCAATTCTCATGACTTGTTCCGCAGCAGCAAGAGTCGACTCTCTGATAGTCTAGAATAGAAAGAAATATTGAGGTGATACCAGGCTGTAACATAAATGACCTAGATACAAAACTAAGAAAAATAAAGCAAGCCGGATTTGTAAAAACCGCCGGTGTCACCCCCAATCATTTATGTATATTTCCAAAATATGCATAGAAGCCAACCCTACAAATCGTAACACGCCATGTGCACATATCACAGGAAATGGTTACAGAAGAGAATTAGTGCGATCAGAGTTATGCATGTATAAATCGAGCCCTTGGTTTGGTAACGACTAGCAGGAGTTTTTATGTGGCCTTTCTCGCTAGAATTAATTATTATCCAAATTTAACTAAGAGAAACTGTAGTATAACATTTTTTAATTCATCAAGCGGTAGAAGAAGCTTTCATCAATGATGAAGACAAATTATGTTATAGTATGAAAATCGTTGTGGACTGGAATTTTAAAACAGTCCTACGTCACAATGATCAAATGTATGTTAGTTTGTTGGCGGATTGCAGCTTGATTGCAGTTAGTCTCAGATACAGTGCTATATGTCCTCAAGTAAAAAAGAATACACATGCACTAGTCAGGAAAATAAACTTCTGTGCCTAATTTCTCATAAGCTGCTAAGTCAGAATAAAGTCAGCAATGTTAAACGGCGACATGAAACAAATCACAAACACTTTGGACGAGACTACCCTCGTTAATGAGCTGTAAGGAAACACAGATTAAATGACTTTAAATTAATACTGAAATGACAGCAGAAATTTATGGCTTAAACTAGTTTTGTTATATCATGGAATATTGCTCATGCTACACATACTGACTGTTGCCCACCCCTGCTATTTATCTTAAATATACTTACAGATATAATATGATTCCTGCTGAAATCAACAACTCTCTCCCAGTTATCACGAATATTTTCTGCCGTCATGGGTTTGTTTTTTTCTCTTAGGACTGCTCCATCAGTTCGCTGCCATCTGATTTTGGTCACAAATCCACCACCAGCTTCATAGACACCACCATTTTCATGGCACTCGTCATGACATAACCAGACTACTATGGGAACCACAAATTCTGGTTTCAAAGATTCAAAAACCTCTAAAAACATGAAAAGAACAAAAATAATGCTCAGATTGAATTGAAACAAAGATGGCGAGATTGTAAGAATTAAAATTCCTAATACATCCTAGACCAGGGGTGGGCAAATTACGGCCCGTCGGAGTGTGTAAGTGTTTTTAATCATAGTTTCATATTCAGCCTCCGGCCCAGTAAGCAAGTCCATTATCTGGAACCGGCCCACCCAGGAAAGTAATCGCCCACCCCCGTACTAGACATATGCTAACATGGGTTTGGCTTAGTGAGGAACTTTGGGCAAACCTGTACATACTTTTAATTTTAGCTCAGTTAGTAATGAAGGAAGGTGGTTATATAAGTTGGTTACCTAGAAGATACAATCATATATAGAACGTTTCTTGGACTGATCACAGTCACATGGTGTTATATATCAGGGATTACCAACTTTTTTTTCAAGCCCAAATTTTTTAAAAAATAAATTTTGTAGAATCTTGCGACCCGAGGATATGCTCAAATACTAGGTGGTATGTCATGCTCATGCCTTATATGGTCACAAACTGAACTGACTAATTTTTACATAAAATTTATATTCCCAAAAATCAACTCAAAGTGAAAAAACTGCACTTATTCGCCATAAGCAAGTCTTCGTGGTGTGAAATTGTGGCGTAGCTTTACTCGAGCAAAACAGCAGCTGCTAAGTTTTTGCGCTGTGAATACTTCCCACATATACAATTACAATTGAGCAACAATTCAATATAAATATCAAATAAACAAAAAAAACAAAAGGCAGTAACTTTTAGGTTTTTATTAAAAAAAACTTGCCCAAGAAAATTTTGAAGCGACTCAATCTTGGGTCGCAACCCAGGAAATTTTTCAAGTGACCCTATTTTGGGTCGCGACCCATAGGTTAAGCAACACTGTTCTATAAAACTCCTGGTTAGTATGATGCCATGTCTATGTTAAGAACACAAGTCATGAAATAAAAAGACTTACCGGGCGGTAAAATACCTTCTGTCAGGCGAGTTCCGGCAACTGGGGAAATTGTGTTAACATTGATGTTATACTTCTCTCCTTCAATAGCAAGTGAATTCATGAGACCAACCAGGCCAAGTTTTGCTGAAAAATTGAATAAGAGATAAAAATCAGTATGGGCCCCATTAACCCCCAATATTCTATAAACAAACATGTAATATAAAGCATGTTTATAGAAATATTTTACCACTACAAAAAGCAAAACATAGCTTCAAAGAATTTGACACGGTCATGAATATTCCTGATGGATTTTTATCATTAATCACAAGGAAATTCTAGCATGTGTGAACTGTATATAACTTTTCAAATATTACACATTTCATTATTTAACAAATTAACAAAGTCTTATAAATAAATTATTGCATTTCAAGAAAAATAATAAACATTGCAAAAAATAGGAAAATACACACAAAGTTTAGTAAAACGGCTTCAATACTAGAGAGACAACATTTCCATTTGGGGTTGTTCAACCCTAAGGTAATCCAAAAAAATATTTAAAAATTAAAAATTAATGCAACTGGGGGTTATGATAGCATGTGCATGATTTTCTTTTCTATACCCCGCCTTGGTTGATGAAGATAATGAATGTCGCACAAATGAAAAAAGGTTAGTTTATTCCAAATTAGTAGCAAGAGAGAGAATTTTAAGATTCATTAGACAGAATTCTATAATAGAAAATCCATATATATATATATATATTTGTAAAATCGCATTAAGCTCCCATACCCTAGTTCAAATTTAAATATCAATTAGAACAGAAAGCCTTAAATTTGCTTGCAATCGGGGACGGGATAAACCACATAATATACTATTCCAAGTATAATATACTAAGTATATTACTAATATACTATACTATATACTAAGTTATGGACAAAATAGCAATTTGCATAAATCATTGCATAATCATAGGAATATGATTTTTATAGTCTTATCAAAGTGAAAAGAGTGTTTCATTTTTCTTTTGTCAAGTGGCAATAGGTCAAAATGGCAAATTTTAAAATGAAAATATTATTATGATGATTTATTTGTTCCTAAAATCAAAAACTTACTATATCTAATATTACTACTTTGGAGTATATTCGATTTATTTGACACTTCGGACATTACTCTTTATAAAATTTCAATCCAAAGCCTACTTTTATTATAAAACTTATAAAATCACCAAGGATATAATAAGGATCAATAGCAGAGGGAGTAGTGATATGACAAAAGGAAGAAATATATAACTTAATCAGACTAACATGCTGTAATCCTGTAACAAAGTATAGTTTAAACGTTAACTAGTTGTATGAACCAGAATGTTGTGAAGTATTGAATCAATATTTAAGAAGCTACGAGACCCCACCATGTTTGCCTATAATAAATCCAGTTGCCGGTATTTGACCCACGGCTTTGCAAGATTTTGCTGACTCATACAAGAGAATGTTTAAAGAATTTATCTTCAGTAAGGGGAAAAATTGAAGTATCTGAGTATAGTAATGCATGTAAAATATAAAACTTTGCTGATTGAAATCTTGTATGATATTGATTTAAAAAAAAATTTTCATTGTACGATCAATTTAATTCAAAACTAAAAAAATGGTGTTTAGTAAAAATTTGGATAATTGAAACTGTATGATTAATGTTATGATAAATGATTAAATTTGTAATAATTTTAGTGTACCATTAATCTAAGATTGAGAATTTTAGGTGTTTTAATAAAATTTTATATTTATACAAATATCATTTGGTCATATTTTTCATATTCATGTATTTTGAACTGAAAAAAAAAAAAAAAACTGAAAAAAAAATGAAAAAATTGACATGTGCCTAAAAAACAAAAAATTAGTACAGAAGAACTACGGCCATTATATACCCTATAGCAGGGATGGCGAACCTTTTTCAATAAATGTGTCAAAAATTATATTTTTATCGCGGAACAGAAGAGAGTGGGTCACAGATACCCAATCAATGTTCGTATCTATAAGAAACTTCTGAATCAGATCTTATAAGCTTCTGTTTGAGTTTGTGTAGTTTTTGGCTTTACTTATGCAGCATTTCTATCAGGGACTTTTTATGGCACTCAATTTTATGAAACTAGAGTCGAAAACACGCATATAAATTACCAAAAACGTTTAGGATGATGCGGCAAATTATTTCACGGTTCCAAAGAGTTTGGTGGGAATTGCACTCTGATAATGTTATATTATTTTTCGATCAGCTTTTCCCCAAATTGATGCACTTTTACAATGCTCCATTGTTATTTCAGATTTCTAGGTTTTTATTTTAAGTCTGAAAAAATTTTTTTTCTCAACGGCATTGTAGGCGAAAAAATAATAAAATGTAAAGTAGCATCTAGTTCTTGTGTGACCCCTAAAACAGTCTGCAGATGCATTTCAGAAAGAGATAAGACGTTGCGATAATTGAACAGATCAGTTGCATTGTTATGTCATAAACAATGTCAGAGCCAATAGCTGAATAACTGCACACAGCCCGGAAATTAGCAATTTGAATATAAGCGATCGCAGTCCCGTCTGTCCAACTGACGGTACATTATAATAGTTTCGTTATTGTCAGATGAATTTAAGGACGGTTTTATCAATTTTTATCACTGATATGTTAGCATTTTTTGCCTTGGCGGGTCACGAATAAAACGCAGGTCAGTGGTTCGCCATCCCTGCCCTATAGCAATCTGATCTCACCAGCACTGTAATTAGCTTGGCCAAAGTTTCCGTAAATTCCAGCTGCAGAAGATGTCATAATGATACGACCATACTTTTGTTTCCTCATATGCTCCCACACTGCTTTGGTGCACAAGAAAGATCCACGAAGGTGAACACGATGGATTATGTCCCATTCAGCAACAGTCATACGAGAAAATGATTTATCACGAAGAATTCTGAACAATTTTGACATGAAAATCCAAGATTTTGATACATTCAACGATGCAGATGTTAAAGACAAATTGTATACACATTATACATCGATGAAACGAAAGCTAGGAAATCAAGCTATACAACTTGTATAGACAGGTCACTTGATCAATCACAACCCAACTTAGATAATCAACCGAACTAACAGTAAAAATGGAAGCTATATCATGTTTCTTTCAAATTACTAGTAATCTCAAAAATATAATCAAAATATACCGAAAAGTTTATTTATTTTTCCCAAAAACTTATATAAGGCATAAAAGCACAATAAATACAATATTCTTATGATATCTTACCCGGCATTGTTGATCAGGATATCTGAAAATGACATATTTATAGATTCAGTAAGGGGTGTATCTTAGGTGTGTTCTAGCACTAGGGATGTTATGTCATACAATATTTTACTATTTCGCCCTCTAAGATGAAGTATATTTAAAATAACTTGAATATATCAAAATTGGCTGTTTTGTCTCAAAATTACCTTAAATCATTTTCACTGTCAAAATGGACAATTCACAAAAACAATACCTTTGAACTGAATTCATTAAAAACACTTCATAGCAATAACAATTATTTGGTGGTCTCTGTACAGTATCTATACAGTACAGTACCGATAGGAACCAAAATACATCCAGTGAAGTTTTCATTGGCAAATAGGACTTCTTCAAGTACCAAATTGCATCAACCCTATCATCAATCAATTGAAATTCATAGAATATTCAGAAAATTTAAGACAAAAAACAAACAAAAATGACTTAATAAACCAGCCAGAATAATAATGCAAAATGATCAATTTTTCAAATATAACATAATACTGAAAAAATTTCCAATACTGATCACCCCTTCCCCTCCCTTTTTGTGCAATAATCTTAAAAGTTCTTATTTAGTAGCACAAAACCAAGGAATGGAATACATCAAAGTAGAACTCTTACCGATTCTGCCAAAGTGATCAAGTGCAGTCTGTACAACCTCCTCGCCATCTTCGACAGAATCTGAAATTGTGTGAAATGAATATTTAATGCAAAATTAACAAAATTGCGATAGTAACCAGGTCACACACTAATGTCTGTGGCTAACAGACTCATTTTGTATGCAAAATTTTACACTATTATGAAAAGATAGCAACTGCATTTTTCAATTCCAAAGTGTCTCACTATAATTAGCCACAGCTTTTCCTCCCTTGCTTCTAATTTCTTCAACAACTTTGTCAGCCAAAGTGCTTGTTGCTCCTTCCCCAGCTCTTGACGATCCCAGGTCATTTACTATGAAATGTAAAATAAAAAACTCACTTTTTTTTGAGGCATTTTCCTATAAAATATCTGCGAAATTGAGAAGCTTAATATTAACCATCAGTTACATCAAGAAGCAGGAGGGCCTAACAATTCGCATCTCCATAATCATCTTCCGTGAAATTTAAATGTGACAACCCATTCAGAGTAACGCAATCAGCAAATGCTAGTGTATCCCTAACTATTTAGTGGTTGCACTAAAGCTTCTAGTGACATACATAAATATAATAATCTGTTCAGTTACTGCACTGAAAGTCAAAAAAAATTTTCAGTGCAATTCTAAACAAATGTCGAACAGAAGTGATAGAGAACAAAATTTCCTATTGTAAAATGAATTTCGGTGTCACTTACCGACTACAGAGGCACCCCGAGAGGCAAAAGCTAGCGCATATGCTCTTCCAAGGCCTGAAATAAATAGATATGTTATTAAAGAGTTCCTGATACAATTATAAATAATAAAACAAAAATAACAATAGAAAAAAAGAACACATTTGAACTAAGGATGCTATATGACATGGATTTTGTAAATCAATTTCTAGTTGCAGTAATTTTAACATACAAGTGATATTTTTATAGATTTATTTCATAAACTGTATTAAACTGTATCTGGTATTGAAAGATCATAGGATTGAGAAATGTTGTGAATGGTTTTATCTATTTTTTTTTCTAAAATTTTCTAAAATTTATTAATTCAGATTTTGAATGGCTTAAATAGATTAACTTTACATTAAAATTGTAATATATGCCTAAATTTACCTCCACCAGCGCCCGTTACAATCACAACTTTCCCATCAAAACGTAGTTCGTTCGACATCTCAATGATAAGCGATGAAAAAAATTTCCAATGCCGTTCTAAGAACCTAGATAATTTAATCTAATAATCTGAAATTCACAAATATACACGAATGAAATGTTGTAATATTGCCGAAAAGAACTTTACATAGACTTGAACTAAGTTTGCATTATTTCAAAACTTTTTTCAGTTAAAAAACAATAAAACACAAAATCATTATTGGTTGATCTATATCACAAAAAAGCACAAACAAAACAATGATTGTAGAGAGAACACGTATTGGCCATTCATGAGAAAACTTCGGGAACAAAATTGTTTATTGGAGCAGTAAACAAGGTTTCTGGAACATGTTTTGGATGAAGAAAAAATTTAAAAAAATGTCATGAAAATTTATGTAATACAACATATAGGTTGTTAATAATGATTTTGTCTTAATTTGTTGATTTAATTGGGCAATACTCGCAAGAATAATTTCTAAGGAATACAGATCAAAACATAAAAACCACTAAAAAACATTGATCTTCATGTTTTTAACTTCAAGCACAACTGTACCAACAAGATTGAAAACCTAAAAATAATAAACCAAATATAATAAACATTATTATCAATTACTTTCGAGTTTTCACTTTTATGTTCCACAACAGAAAACAATATCCCAACTTACGCAAAAATAAAAATTGTTGGATTCATTATCAGGACGAAATTAGACAAAAAGTCTGTACTTTTGGAAACAATAAACCAAATAAACAGACAGACAATAAAACATGATTACATATTCCAAGACACCACTGCTCATAATGACGATTTACTCATTAGTCATTTGGCTGGAGAAAGTCCAATTACACCACAAGCCAGTCGTCCTCCTGCATGACCCGTTGTTTTGCTATCAGGGAAACCACCACGGCCCAGATCATCTACATCCGCATGAACAACTATTGCCCTGCCAACAACAGAAAATTCACCATCCAGTTTAACTTGCTTATCAGTAATATCGATTGTGGCTTTCCCACTTTCATCAACCATTATATTGCCAAGATCTCCAACATGACGCTCTGTGTCATCAGGACCACCGTGCTCCTTATTATACGGATTGAAATGACCTCCTGAATGGACAAAGCAGAAATTCACTCAAGAATAATAAATTTTTGAAGATTAACAAATTAAATATGGTACACTGTTTTAGCAATTAAAGTTTGCCATAGCTCGAAATTTATATTCTGAATGGCGAAGAATGTTTGAGATGCTAAAATTCCAATTCCAATTCTCCCCTAATAATGGTTCACCTCAAAAAACAGAACCCATAAACTTTGTAATTACTTTCTCTTCATATCCCTGAGAGAACATAACTTTCGTGCAAAACATCTTAGATTTCATCAATTATACACAAACAGAATTTCAAACCCAAACAAAACCAAATTTTACTCTTATTATCACAGAAGTAATTTGAAGAAATATATGGGTTCTGTGTTTTTGGGGGTTACTCTTTATTTTGACAAAAAAGAAAGAAGTATGGAAAACTATCAGCTATTTCTTTATGGCCAAATGCAAATCGTAAATTTCAAAATGTTGATTCCCTAGAGAAATTCCACTCTCTGGACAACAGCAGTTCGTCGAAACATACTTCAAAAGTGAACAAATTTTACCTGTACTGGTGCAACCATTAGTGTAATCTCCATATTGATGAACATGAAACCCATGCTGGCCAGTTTTCAGTCCTGTAATTTCACCTTTGATGGAGCACGTACCATCACCCATATCTTTGAAATTGATGATGCCTTCGACACCTTCAGTACTTCCTTCCAGAATGCAAACTGCTGTTTTGGGAGAAGCCATTATTTTTGTTTGAATAGATATTTATTCTGCGATAAAAAAGCAATAGACACATATAAACTCTACAGTAGAAAGTTACCATTCACAATGAAAAAACTTACAAAATAACAAATATAGAACCTTCATATAAAAAAAATACTGGTGTACCGGTAGACTAATAACTATGTTATACAGAGGGGATTCCACAACTATCGGAAGATCACCCAGATATAAATATGAATATTAGAGTTCACTATTTTTTCATTGTACTTCGCATGTATCATTGTAGAGAAATCATAATTTAAGTCACACTTTACAAAGTAAAACGTCATATGTATATATATCGTGTTTTCGTTATTTATCGAGTCCATTAAGGATATTCGTTTTAAATTTAACTATATGGACATGGACAGATGTAGTTGGCACTCTCTAGAAAAATGCAGGTCTCAATTGTTTATATTCACAATAGGTATATTCTATCATGATTTATAGAAAAAAACATGACAAAATAGCAATAATACAAAATACTATTGATGTAAAAAACCAAAACGGAATGAATAATGTGCAGGATTTGAAGATGAATCAAATAACACATATCAAAGGATGAAATAAATAGTGTACAATGCTTACGGGACAAAGCCCAAAATTCAACGATGTTAAGAAATATAGGCGACAAATAAAAATGGATGAATATTATATCAGAAAATGATTTCATAACTTGTGATCTGATACAGTGTATATTATCATATATGACAGTAGAGATTTCAAGATGATCCCATAATCATCCAGCTCCATGGAAGTTTGCAAACAGATGAGGTGATATCTTCAAAAATTTGAAAAAAATACATCAAATCATTACAGTGTTTATTAAATTTCAATTTAGCGACACAAAAGAGTAAAAAGGGAACGAATTCACTAACCAGTGAGCTTATTCAAGGGATTGCAAAATTAATGACGAAACAACTTTACACATTCAATGGTACTAAATCATGATGCTAAATTATATTCACCAAAATATAACATTGTAGTAGAGAAACTTTTCCTTATTAACGCAATAATTTGCTAATTAATATGAACTAAATTATGAAATTTTTCAGACATTTAATCATCATAACATCAGGTTATATTTGATTTCTATAAAATATGTTCATTTTACAGTTTTATTACATTTTAATCCAGTTTCCAAAATGCAATCTGTTAATTTTGATGTCGGCTTAAATACAATAGAGGATGTGACTGAAGAAATACAGAAATATAATCAAACCCCCTGGATTTATATTTAAATCTATTTTGTAATCCCAATCACACCACAAGCTAGTCTTGCCCCAGCATGGCCTGTAGTTTTGCTATCATCGAATTTTCCCCGACCCAAGTCATCTTCATCTGCATGAACTACAATTGCCCTTCCAATAACAGAGTTCGCACCACACAAGGTGACTTGACTATCAGTAATATCTACTACAGCTTGTCCATTTTCTTCCGCTATGATATTGCCCAAATCTCCAACATGACGATCCACGTCTGCAGGACCAGCATGTTCTCTTAAATTTGGATTAAAATGGCCACCAGTGCTAATGCATCCTTGTGAGAAGTCCCCAAATTCATGAACATGGAATCCATGTTTTCCTGCCTTTAATCCTTCCACTATGCCAGTAATTTTGCAAGTGCCATCACCTTGCAACTCCAGCAAAATGTCTCCTTTTACTCCTTTGTCGCCATCGAGCTTACAAATAGCTTTCACTTTGGTCATTGTCTTCAACGGATACCGGTACAGAAATATACCGTGTGTATATGTAGTATGAATCTTGTTGCAAACTGCACTGCTTTGGTAACGTACCGGTACCGGTACGTAAATTTATACCGTAACTACCCTAACCCAACTGCAAAGCTGCAACTGCTGAAACAGCAAACCCGGTAACCAACAATTTGAACTTTGGTAATTTTCGGAACAACACCCACCCAACAACCAATCAAACTGCGCGTTATGGTGATAGGATTTGCATATTAATTCCAAGGGATAGGGTTTTCTGGTTGACGAAAATAAATCTCTCTCTCTCTCAATAGGACGGCTTAATCATATGGCGGCCAAGGCCCTCGTCCGGTTACCGGTACAAGTCCATTCCTGGTATATAGATAGATAGTTTATTTTGGAAACTCCTTAATACACACAAAATGAAACGGGAGATTACGGTAAGTATACTTTGGCTCCATAAAGCATAAAGGGCGAATAAATAATTGAGAAAAACAAATAAATAAAAACTGAATATGAAATCAGGAGAGCAAACAAAACCTTGGATAAGGTTCAAAACGAACAGAATATAAGATGGAAGGTTTTGCCGAAAAGAATTGGTACCTGTTCACTCACCTAAAATTATTGAATCAATTCACTAACACACACAACCACGGGGCTATATTAAAGTTAGAAAAAAGAGATCTAGATAAATTTTATAGTATAAAATAAATAAATAAGTGAAAAAAATTAGAATAAAAATAAGAATTCCAATTAGAAACAAGAGAGCTATGCTCAAATGTATGAACACGTAGCACCAAATAACTTTGTGACGTCATAGCAGAAAATAAATAGCCCTCTAGCAAAAAATCTAATCTTTATTCACTGGAAATTTCAAAACAATTGGTCCAGTAAACAATATGAAAAACGATTTTTTCAAAACGTGTCAAAGAACAAGAACAACAACAACATAATATTGAAACGATCGTTATGCCCACTATGTGTCCAATAAGAATTGTTTGCCACACCATTTAATAAAATTCCCAGAGTACAGATTTGTAAACAAGAGTGAACAGTATTCAATATGAAGACAAGAAGAAAAAAAGATTTCGCCAAGCTGATTATAGTTGGGAGTCAAATGCCAAATTCTGGATTATGATATTAGTAAGCCCAGCAGTCAGTTATTTGTTTTAGATGCATAGACCTGATAATGGAGAAAGCCGTAACCGAGCAGCGGTGACGTGAACCACCCTACGGTGGAGAAGAATCCATCAATCCTCTCGCACATCATCCCCCACGACATTCGAACCTGCTAACCCACGTCGTGGTTGTCGGCGATAGAAGTTTCTTTTCAGTTGATAATATTTTGAACGCTGTTCTTCCTTGCGTTCCGACCGGCTAATTTTTATCGATGATTGCTTTTCTGTTTTGACCGGAGTTTCGCGGGCTTTACTGCATCCGACGTGTCACGCGTGGCTCTTGCATCTCGACTTTACGCGTCGTAGGACGTTCTTGTTTAATCTTGTTATGATGTTAGTGGTGTGGTTTCGCATTATCCGCTTTATTGACTTAGCGTGTGGGTGGCATTTGGTCTCGTTAGGTAGAACTGTGGTGAGGGTATCGTAACCGGGGCCCCATATGACCATCGTCGTCATTTATTGTTTTAATTGTTCATGTATTTTATATTTCATTCTTATTAACTGCTTTCTAAATTTAGTTGCTATTTTTATGCCAATAACGTTATCGTTCACGTTTCCTGTCAGTTTCTTGTCGATTTAGGCCTTTGGAGCGTTATCATATGTAAGTTTATTTTCTATTAACTTCTGGTTATGCATTTTCTTTCCGCCCTCATATTGTGATTGTTTTTTGATTATTTCATTTTATTTACAGTCAACCGTTTTACAATAAACGCGTATGACATGGAACATCTGTGTGCCTAAATCTGACAAAGTTGAATATGACGCATTTGTTGAAGAAGTCAAATACTAAAGAATCTGGAGCAGCAGTGGCTTCATCGTCGACATTTACGGAAGAAGGCGACTCTGCAGCTGACGAAACGTTTGAGGGCTTGTCATCCTTATCCACGCTTAGACAAAAGCGTATCAACACAGTGACTGAGTTTGAATCAGTCATGACCAAAAGTCGAAATTTGATAAACGAGAAGGCTCGAAGATCGCAGCTGGCATGCCTAAAAACAGAGTTACATTTTAAACTGGCCGCCTATAATAAAATTATATCGAACACATTACCTCAAATTCGCAACGCAGAGTCGAAAGCTGCTTTCGAAGAATGCGTTCAGAAAGTTATATCTGAAGTTGAAGGTATGAACGATGAAATTGATAGTTACATCGACCGTGAACCTGAAAGATCGTGCGTGGCTCCTGACGAAGGGAACTCTCAGATTTCAAGTGAAAGAATGGAAGAGGACAGCGATAATACAATAAATCTCCAGCCAGCGTGCGCCAAGCAGTCCGGTGGTGAAATGGGGGCGGCGACTGACCAACTTCGAGAATCTAGAGCACGAGAACCCGACGATTGCCGAGAGACACCAACTCTTTTAAAGAGTCCCTTTATGAGCCACAGGTTCAATAACTTTGACGAACACGACGTGTTACAATCAACTCAAAGAAAAAGTGCCCGCTTCGAACTAGAGACTTTTACCGCGTCAGATAAACGTCGTGAATATACGATTTCTTACACTCCAAGACATTACCAAAATCCTTCACCAGCAAACCAAATGCCGTTGCCAGACCAATCGGTAGACTCCTGGATCGATAATCTCCAACCAAATCAAGCAGGATCCAGAACGGTAAATGATAACATTTCTCTAGCTGAGCAAACGTGTTTATCTTTGAGTTTAAATTCTAAAATGTGGGCTGAGCATCATTTGCCGCCGGTACAAATAAGTCCGTTTGATGGGAGTGCTATAAACTGGCCTAATTTCATTGAATTGTTTTATGAAAATGTTCATTCACGGTTAGACGATGATGGTCAACGCATGGTGAGATTGTCCGCGTATTTGTCGGGTTCGGCGAAGCGTCGTGTTGACGGATTAGGTACCGCCGGTAGTCATTACATACTGGTTTTAAAGGAATTAAAACGCCGCTACGGACAGCCGGTACTGATCGCACGGGCGGTGCTTGATCGAGTTGTAAATGGAAAACGTATGTCGCCTCTTTCGGCCGATAGATTGCTAAATTTTCACTCAGACGTGCGTGACTGCGTGGTGAATCTCAAAAAGATGTGTTATTTGGCTGACATCAGTAGCGTCGAGAATGTAAGGAGGGTTTCAAGCAGGATTTCTTAAGAACTGAACTCGAGTTGGAATAAATTTGTTGTAGGTTTTATTCACAAAAACTCTAATCCGACATTAATTGACTTTGAGCAATGGTTGTGGGAAAGAACTGAAGAAATCGCCAATCCTTTTTCTCCAGATGTTACTTGCAATGTGATCAATAGAACTGATTTAACTGACCACGAGATGCCCAGAAGCGCTCGTCGCCGATTTCCGACTCCATTTTCAACGTTATCAAACTTGGAATCCGATAATACGTCATATAGTGACGCATCACGTTGTCAATTCTGCAATGCTCGCCATTCTTTGAGAAGTTGTGAGACGTTTTTCGGTGCGACCGATTATGTAAAACGTAACTTTGTTGTAGATTACAGACTTTGCTTTAAATGTCTTGAACCGGGCCATCGTGCATTTATGTGTAGATGTGATGTCGAGTGTAGTATATGCAATGGGAAACATCACAAATGTATTCATGGAATTCGCATGTTTGAAAGCGTCCTAAGGCCAATAAACCGACAGGGTATAAACAATGCGGTGTCGGTAACAACTAGAGTTCAATTTGAGTTGCTGCCTGTTCTGGTTAGAGGAGCTAATGGACGCTCCGAATATACAGTTGCTTTGCTTGATTCGGCAAGTCAGGTCTCTCTCATCCTTCCCAAACTCAAAACTAAGTTGGATTTGCGTGGACGTCGTAAAAGGCTCATGTTAACCACCCTCGGAGGAACTGGGGCCTTGCATGACTCGGAAGCGGTCGAACTTTTTGTGCGTGACAAATTGAATCCCGACGGCAAAGAACTACATCTAAAGTCAGTTTTCGTATGCGGCACCAGAATTCCCCACCCTGAAAGAAGTCATAAAGATTTTGAATCCTTCCATCATTTACGTGGATTATCACTTCCTGACATTAGAGAAAACAAAGTTATGTTGCTCATAGGTGCGGACCTTCCATTTGCCCACTTTCAACTTGAAGGACGTGTAGGGGGAGACGATGAACCGATTGCAATAAGAACACCACTCGGATGGACTTTGCTAGGCGCAAACAAACGCGCTTGTGGAGACGATTTAATTCATGCTAATTGTCATTTATTACACGATGATTACAATATCTTGCAAGACCAAGTTAAGCAATTTTCGAGTACGGAAGCGATGGTAATGAGCTACAACACGAAGCGCGCCGAATCTGTGGAAGATCGCGTGGCTGCGAATGTGAATAGAGCTAAAACGTCTATTGTTGATGGGCATTATAAAGTCGGCTTTCTGTGGCGTCGCGATATTTCCATTATGTTGGAGAACAGTCTTATTGCCCGTACGAGATGTAGGAATCCGAAAAAACGACTGTTGGAAAATGACGGTCTGAGAGACATGTACGGCACCTCTATGAGGAAAAACATCGAACGTGATTGGGTGCGAAAGCTGACTGTTAAAGAACGTGATACTTTGGGTCCTCGAACTTGGTATCTTCCTCATCATGGAGTTGAGAATCCAAATAAACCTGGCAAGATACGAATAGTTTTTGACGCCGCGGATACATATTGTGGAATCGGTTTGAATAATCAGATATATTCGGGACCTGATCTCATTAAGAGTCTGATTGGAGTTATGCTGATATTGAAGCCATGTATCACTTGGTGCGTCTACCACAGTCGGACACGGATTCAGTCAGATCTTTCTTGCAAGGAAATCTGAGATCGACAACCTCGCCTGATGTGTATCAATTTCTAGTGAGAATATTTGGTGTGGTCGACTCGCTATACGTTGCAAAAACCGCGCTTGATAACACCGGGCAATTTTCAATGGAAGCAGTAGAAACGGTTTTTAGGGATTGCTACGTAGACGATTTGCTTTCATCAGAATGTAATGGTGACGCTTTTTCCGACGCTCAAGAAGTTTCTAATATATTAGCAAGCAGGGGTTTTCGATTGAAAAAATGGCTTTCAAATTTCGAAACATTATGGTCGAAATTTAACACAGGGGATTGTCGTAATCCTGACGATGAATCAGATTTTAATTATGTGCCCAGTTCTAAGGCGCTGGGACTTCATTGGAACACTAATGACGACGATTTCTACATTGTTTACAATTCGTTGACAAAACCTGTGACAAAAAGAGGAGCGCTAAGCGTGGTCGCATCAGTTTTTGATCCCTTCGACATTTTAGCCCCTATTATTTTAACTGCGAAACTCCTTATTCGGGAATGCTGGAAAGATGATTTGAAATGGGACAAAAACTTAGATAACCCCAGGAAGAATGCTCGGGAAGAGTGGACCGAATCATTAAAACAATTGACTAATTTCCATGTGCCCAGACAATATTTAGGCGCCTCGAAAACCGCTATTTATGAGATTTGCGATGCGTCTGAACAAGCTTACGTCGCAGTGGCTCACTTGCGTGCCAAGAAATGTCAGAGTGTGAATTATAGTTTGTCGATGGCCAAATCAATTGTTTCTCCGATGAAATCTATGTCCGTTCCCAAATTAGAGCTGCAAAGTGCTTTATTAGCCGCGCCCGATATTATAAACAGTCGTCCTTTAACTTCTATTAGCGACAACGTACGTGATCCAGCTCCCCTCACGCCCAAATACACCTTTGGATCAACAGCGCATCGGAGAAGATGAAGACAAACCGAAGCAATTTCGAATCGCTTCTGGAAGCGCTGGCGACGAGCGTATGTACCAATGCTGATGACTCGAACAAAGAGGAAAAAAGAGAGGAATTTATTGATAGATGATACCGTAATTGCTGTAGATGACGACGTGCCAAGAAGACGTTGGTTACTAGGAAGAGTTACTTTTAACCGGGTGTGTGTGTAACTACCGTCAAAACAGCAGGTGTGGAAATAACCAGACTGGTGACGAAACTATGCCTCCTGGAAAATGAATAACCCCTTGAAGGTTTATTGGGGGCGGCTGTGTCGGCGATAGAAGTTTCTTTTCAGTTGATAATATTTTGAACGCTGTTCTTCCTTGCGTTCCGACCGGCTAATTTTTATCGATAATTGCTTTTCTGTTTTGACGCGAGTTTCGCGGGCTTTACTGCATCCGACGTGTCACGCGTGGCTCTTGCATCTCGACTTTACGCGTCGTAGGACGTTCTTGTTTAATCTTGTTATGATGTTAGTGGTGTGGTTTTGCATTATCCGCTTTATTGACTTAGCGTGTGGGTGGCATTTGGTCTCGTTAGGTAGAACTGTGGTGAGGGTATCGTAACCGGGGCCCCATATGACCATCGTCGTCATTTATTGTTTTAATTGTTCATGTATTTTATATTTCATTCTTATTAACTGCTTTCTAAATTTAGTTGCTATTTTTATGCCAATAACGTTATCGTTCACGTTTCCTGTCAGTTTCTTGTCGATTTAGGCCTTTGGAGCGTTATCATATGTAAGTTTATTTTCTATTAACTTCTGGTTATGCATTTTCTTTCCGCCCTCATATTGTGATTGTTTATTGAATATTTCATTTTATTTACAGTCAACCGTTTTACAATAAACGCGTATGACATGGAACATCTGTGTGCCTAAATCTGACAGCGGTCGCCATATCATTAAGCCGTCTTACCTCACCCCCGGGACAAATATGGAAATCGTAACCTATCCTCACCGCGACAAGGTTTCGGTCTTTGGATTGAAATTTTTACGCGAAAAAAAAACATGAAAAGAGAAACAGCGTACCCAGCAAAACCACAAACAAATCAACGTTTCCGTCAAGCCTGAAAATTGTCTGAGTGAAAAAAGTAATCGTTGACATCTTGTAGATATCAATGAAAACAATGCGTGGAAAACTATAGCTGGTTGGAAAATTTTTGACTCCTGGAATTTTGTATTTCCAAGTCTCACGTAGTCGGTGCCAAAACTGCAGTGGTGATAAAATAAGTCAAAACCTATCAGTAGAACTCAAAACAGTACCAATTTTTTTACTTTGCGTTTTTAGCAGTCTATTGAATAATACTCGCTTACGCCAAAGTATTTATTTTCGTCGAAATTTTTTATCTCGTATAATCGTCCAAATTTTCTTGAGATTTTCAATTCTTTTGAGATTTTCACCGCTCTGATCGAGACGGGCTGATTACATTTAACTCATTATTTTAATAAAAAAGAAAAATTTATATTACGTCGTGATTGACTGACCACTGCACTTGTTTGTCAATCTTTTTAGGATAATCGGTGCTCCCGGCCTCTAAATCTAATCTATTTTTATCTGCAAAATCTTTCCATAGCATGATAAAAGGTCGAAGACTGAATTATCAGAACCAAGACATTAAAGTCAACAAACATCACAGGAGAACGAATGAAATCAGCATGAGATGTAACGCCATTTGCTGATAGAATACTCTTCATTAAAACATTCCAAAAGTACATTCTTCAATATGCATGATTAGCTGATCAGAAGTAGAGATGTATTGGCAATATCGGCCAATTTTCCGGTATCGGCTCAATTTAGACCGATATTTCCGATATATTTAGCTTCTCAATATGATCCAGAATGTTTTAAAAAATTGGTTAGAATACTGATCTTGAAATTATTTTTTGCTTGGATTGATAGTGAAATATGAGCCATGCACGGTCCCCACCTCATCCCCGCTAGTAGAAAAGGGAATCGTATTCTGGCCTGTTTCTAGCCATTTATCAGCCAAACTGACGTAAATTATTCAATTCATGACCGATGCTAGCATTTAAAAGGTCTTGTCATAATAATTTAATTGTGCTCACCGTTACTCACGTTTGATTCGAGATAACAATTAGGATTACTAAAATAAAAGATTACTATTCTAAAATAACATAAAATACAGTGGCGGCGCGTCAATAGGGCCAACCGGAGCAATGCCCCGGTTGTTTTTTTGGTATAATAAAAAATATTCGAAAAATACCTCAATATCGGTTGCACAGACTGTCTACACTAGCCATATTCTCCCGACATGGTTCATTTTTCGCTCGCAAAGCCTTCGCCGAACGTCGACGGGGCGACGCCGATTTTGCCCCGGTTGCTCATTGTATATCGTATTCTCTCTTTTATCTTCCACTCGCCGCGTTTGTCTCGTTTGTTTTCTGTTTCTTTTACTAAATCATCGGGGCCGATCGGGGCTAGCCCCGAAATTATCACGACACAATGCCGACGTTTCTTACAACAACGTGTTGACTTATTCACGCATTCCTTCTCGTTCGTTGGTTGTGTGACGACCCTTGTTTTGCCTGTTAAATGACGTCATGTGATATCGTTTCCATATTTGGTAGTCTAGCAGTTTAGACGCTGCGACACGGTCGATCGGTTCTCTTGGGCAGCGTGGTCTGTTGGTGTATGCTGTGTGTGACAGTTTGCAGTCGTCTGAGTGTTTCGGTTAGATTGGTGGGTTTTGAATGTCTGTGTGAATGCCTCTGGTCTTCAGGGATGTTTGTCTGTGTTGTGTGACTGTCGGATGTTTTGTGCTGGACAGTGGGCTGACGTAGGGACCATGTTATTGTTTTTACCACTACAGTGCCATTACAGTTCATTTACCGTAGTGTTGTATTTTCAGTTTTATCGTGGAATTAGCTTTCATCAGTACCGGTATTGTTCAAATGTTGTGCACCTATAGAATTGTTCATAGTCTTTTTAAATGCCTGTCATAAGTTACTTTCGGCCTGTTTTGCAAATTGCAGTAGCTAGTTCATTGTACCAGATTCTAGGGGTCATTTGGTTTTTTATTCAGAGTTGTCTTGGTTTCCACGGTTGGTCAGTGTTTTTGTTGTGTATGTGGTCTTTCTTGCATTTTACTGCCTGGTATCTGTTATTTTTATTTTATGCTTTTCGTTCCTTTGGGGAGTGTTTGGTTGTTTTGGATCGTTTACTGTTCGAGTTGTTAATAAATGACATAAAATAGCATAAAGACTTGGACTATTGAGAGAAAACTTGACGTCAGATCATATTAGAAGATATTCTGAACCTGGATAATTATTTCATACATTGCCGGTACGCTACAGTTGCTTGAAGAGTTGATAGTTTCCTCGCCTTCGTTTTTGTCGCTTGTTTCGCTATTTGAATCAGTTAGACCCCTTTAGGCCATTTGCTTTCGATTTTCCACATTCCTTTTGTGCTCCTCACTTCTTTCCGGCTTCGCATTTCTTAGCCTTAGACCTCATAATGAATAAGGTTGGTGCACTACTTCGCACTCCGTTTTCGCAGCTGCCGCTGGAACAAAAATTAGAGGTACAACGTCTTGGGCCTTATCAACCAAATACTTGTTCACTGGAACAATCCCATGACGGAGGAAAGCGTCGGCGTACATTCTGCGCAGAAACTTGGTATAAAAAACACGAATGGTTGTGTTACAGCGAGGACAAAAGTGCACTTTTTTTGTTTTTATTGCCACCTTTTTGCTACCGCCCGTGACTCACGTTGGTGTAAATTTGGTTTTAGAGATCTTAAACATCTTTCCGAGCGTGCCAGGGATCATCAATCTTCTATGGAGCATCTGGACAATGTAGTAAAATACCGAACATTCGGAAATGTTAATATTGCAGCACAGTTGGATGAAGGACGCGCTGTTTCTATTTGTCGGCACAACCAAAACGTCGAGAAAAACCGCCATGTTCTCGGTCGATTGATAGATGATTTGAAGTTCATTGGTTATCACGAGCTGTCCCTCTCTTCTAATAGAGGGGTATTTTTGGATATGGTGGAATACACCGCATCCCTAGATACAGTATTGAG